ATAATTTTCTGAGAGTGATCAGAATCTTCTGAAACTCCAGAAAATGAAGTTTGATCCGTTTTTTGTTTTGTTCTTGTTCATAGGTCTGCCATCACTGCACTGATTTCAGAAAACTGGAAAGGTTTTTCGACCTTGATATAGTAGTATCCTCGTCCAAGTTTTATAAAAACCCAAGCCGGACTTTCCAAGCTCTAGCCATGCCAAATATTAGCAGACAGACAAATCGACAGACACACCGACCTAAATGGCTTTTCGTGATGCTATTACAATTGTTCAGTAGCGTGGGATGTAAAATTATAAAATATCACGGAGAGATCCAATTGAAGTAATTAAATGGGACTTTTGGAACCTTCCTATGATTTTATTGAAACTAACATCAAAATAGCAGCTACACACCTAATTTATCCAAGAAACGGATTATCGTTCAACTGATAGTTATTCAAGAAAACTTCAGAATCTTCCTCCAATGGCCCTTTAAGTTTCGCAGAGCATAGTTGACATTGTCTTTTAGGCTTATGAATGAGCAAAACTGAATACAGAATACAGAAAATATCTAAATTGCCGAGATACCTTCGATAGAGTCTTGAAAGTTGCCCGTCAGGCATCTTCCATCGATCTGACAAACTGACCTTGAACATGAAACAAGTATAAAAGACGGAAGAATACTTACTATCAAAATACAAATCCCTACTGTTTGAATTGTACTTGTGGGTACTTCAACAAAGCATAAATAAATGCGAATAGTAAGATAAGCCTCAAGTCAATTCATCTAACAGAAATAACCGCCCACAAATAAAGTAGATCTGAAAACCGGGGAGCGAGAGCATTTGGGTGAACGAGAAAAGGCAAGTGTGGTTTAAAGTAGAGATCCTAGAAAGGCAGTAAGATATATGAGGGAGTCGGAACGGGAAGGCGGTGTACGGTGATAGATAACAGCTACCACACCGATAAAACGGCCAGCTAGGGTCTTTGGATATGCTGTGATGCTTCCAGACTATCACAGGTCCTGACAGATTTCTAGAGCTCTTTCCTTGGTAATTGCCCATGTTGAGCTTCAATTATTTGTATATTAAAAAAAGTTATTAAGTAGATTGACTCTGTACTTCTCCCACTCAGTGCTGTCGTCAATCATAAGAACATTTACCATACACATAGATATTGTCATTATTTTACATTTTTACACTTCATAAACTACCTTCAGCGCTTAGACTGAGGTCCTAGGGGTGCAATGACTATTACATACAACGTAGTCCGCACCCAACTATCACGTATGCTGAGTACTGCTGAGCTGAACAAAAATTGGCATCACTTTATTCATGTATTCTGCGTATAATGAGTAGGTTACTTTTGAGCTGGGCGATGAAACGGGAGTCGACAGTCAGCTAAGTTGTGTAGTGTACTAGTGGGGCAAGGTGGTGATAAGGAACACCAGCAAGTGTGTTATAAGTATCTTTACGCAATGATAAATATCCTTCGTAATAAAACGTCTTTCAGTGATATAGCCTCTTACCTCCTATTATTCCCCAGTCTTAGATGACCAACCACCACAAAAAATTAAAAAAAAAAACAATCAAGAGTCTTTGAAACGTCAAAAGAGACGTGGTTTTGAGCACGATTTCGTTCTTTTTAATTTTGTTTTTCATCCGTAGCTCCGCCATGACTCGATATATTTTCAAAACTTACAATGCGTTTTCCTCCTTAGCATAGTGGTAACCTTTTTTCAAATGAATGATGATGAAGCTACCGAGGGTGGAATATTTTCGAAATAAGTCTTACCGTTCTATAGCGATTTTCAAAAACTCGCTTCCTTTCATAGATCAATGTTTGATGAAGAACTATAGCTTTTTTTTATACTTCAACTACCACGAAGGCCTAAGGCCTAAGCACCCATTGGGTACCGTGGCGCTATAGGGGGATACAGGGGAAAGGGGGAACGCCACACGGACTCTGGCGAGGGAACACGTGTGCATGCAACATGCACACATTTTGGATCCGCCTACGAGATCCGCCGGGTGGTACCTCCGCGTTCGACAGTCAGAGACCGTCTACCACCTACGGACAATCACAACATCCATAGCCAAGAGAAAAATTTCTCCTAGGACGGGACTCGAACCCGCACAGCGCACGGCGACTGATCAGGAGACCGAAGAGTCTATTACTGCGGCCACCGCTGCTGTCTGGGTGACACACGATGGGCCTTAGATATCTCTTTTTAGTCCGAAGTAGCCGCGCAGGCAAAAGTCTAACTGCCAGGGCACCCCGGCTACTATGAGGAGCTTGAAGAAGCTTTGTTCATACGATTTTCGAACTGCCTAAGGTTAATAAAATTGGGAAAAGCCTCTTCATGTAGATTGTTACACAATCTCGATACCTTAGAGACAAAGAAGCGGTTGTATCGGCCAGTTCTGGATGTACGAAGTTCGACACTGTTAGGATAGAAGAGCGAAGTTAGGCGGGTCTGCTTGGCAGCCAGATCGCGCGACGACATCATGGAGAAGAGCTCTGATGGGCAAAGCCCATTGGCGTAGCGGTAGAAGAGAGCTATATCGTAGTTTCAGAAACTTCATATGTGATTTCTATTAACAACATATTTTCGAAATTTTTGCTCTCACTGTCAAAGACATGAAAACTCTAGAACAGATTATGACAATCATCTCTTCAACGTTTGCCTCATGTTTGGAAAGCAACTTCGACTCTATAACAATATGTGCTAAATTTGTTCACACTTTTGTGAATAACACGTATAGGCGATGTTATACGATGTATTCAAGCCACCCGTAGTACATACCAAATACACTCTACTATCAAAACAGCCATCTAAATTAGTTCTGTTTTCCAATTTATTAAAAATTGTGGAAATATTTGAAATGCTGCAATGCAGTATCGGTGTTGTGTTTTCATATTTTCTATGTCAGTTTGTTGACTGTCGGCATGAATAGTTCTACTGGAGTTGAATGACTATATGATATGATTAGTAACCCGATATGCATATGATATTAGTAACATTTATCTGTAGCAACCAACTTAGCACCACAGTTTTCACATGGTTGTAGTCGCTTTGTGGTGTTGCCCCTTTGCGTCCATACTCCAGCACCGCAATAAGCTATGGAGAACACGCAATATCGAAAATCATGCAGTTCGAGCTCTAAGTTTATATACAGACTACCTGCAACTTTCTTCATTCGGTAGAGCATTATACTTAGGTAGTCAATACTTGCCCTTGGTTATTATAGCAACCCAAAGTCCATATTTAACGAGTGTTTTGCTATCTTCAGGCTTCTCAATTTTGCGTTCTATGCGGTTGTAGAAAAAGGCTTTTTCCACCATCACAACGAAAACGGAACAAGCCGCATTCGATCGATTTTAACCGAGCATTTCCTCAAAATGCAGGTCTTTGAGTATAAAATTTTTCCTTCTCTGCCACCGTCATCCCGCAATATTTCATCGAGATCTGAACAAAACTCCCCCTGCTCCATGAAAATTCAGCTATATTTCTCTCAGCGCTGCTGGATAAGAATCCTTCTGGGCTAATAAAGAAGGCCATTAAAACAAAGACAGCTCCCACCTAAGGCAGCCGAGCGAAGGAGGGACGGAAGAAAGGGGAAAGGTGACGTCAGCCTCTCGCCATTTTGCCGTAGTCATTAATATGAAAATGTCATTATACAAAAAGAAGCCGTCTTTGTCTGACCGTTTCCCCGCGACTGTACAACTTCTCTTTTCCGCTTCCTTCCTTCGCTGCTCCTGCTTGCGGCGCCGTTCTAGCGCGTCTCCCTCCCTGCTCACCCCCTGGCAATCAGGGGTGGCTTTCGTTGGGGACGGAGAGGGGCAGTCAGTTAAAAAATGTATTTTCAACAAACACCCGGAAAAGTACGTCATACGCAAAGTTAGCAAAGGGATCGACAGAAATTGGCGGATTTATCGCTTTATAATGGAAAAGAATTTATTTAGGTTCAAGCTGCTTCGAACAATAATAAATATTATTTACAAATAATGTGATAAATTGATAAAGTGGTCGCAACGCCAAACCAAAATAGTCTCCCCTAAATCTCTTTTAAAGAAAATAGATGCAGCCGTCTTTTGTATCCGATCACTAAGGAATGAAGCGACCTAAACATGTCATCGACTATCTCGCTCTCACATTCACTGTTTGGTCGGTAGAACGAGGAACTTTTAGCATACCGTGCTAGTTTTCAATGAAAAGCATATCTACTGTTATTCATAGCACAGGGAAAAAATCATAAGTCAGAAGTCCTTTATAGCCGTAACAGGCAGAAAAGGAGCAAAAAATAGAGATTTTAAAAAAACCCAAGAGTGGCAATATCTCGAAAACTAGAAAACCTTTATTAACCCATTAGTACCCAAATTAATATTTTTTCAGTTTTGTTCACAAAACCGGTTTTCATCGCTCAGTATATGGTGTTACATATATGTAACACTAGGAGCTTACGAGATAAAAAAAGAAAATGCAACTTTATTAGTTCTATGTGTATTTATTCAAATAAACGCAATCCAGATGGTCAGCTTATAAACCGTTTTGCGTAGTAGGAACAAAAACAGTCGATGCACAGGCCTAGGTTACACTTTTTACATTGAGTCCTCGTTGAGCTCTTGTAAAGGTTCCCGGCACAACGTCTTCTTTTGTCGTTAGGCATTTTTTCCACAAGGTGATCCATTCTATCATATCTAACGTCATCGACCACCGCTTGTACATAGGAAGATGGCGATACAACTCTTCCACCGCCTTTAGGTGCTAGTGAGTACTTCTTCAGATAAACTTGTACGACGGCCCTTCTAAAGTTTATTTGAGGGATTTGAGATTTGTTCGCTTTTCTATATAAACACCATGCATTGTTGACTGCAATATCCAGAAGCCATGTGAATAGCGATCAATACCATTTCCTGTTTCTGACTTGAATCCTGTATTGACCAATGTTTTGATACATCCGATCAGTACCACCCATTTTTTTGTTATACTCAGCAAGTAGTGCCCGTCGACTTACTTGTATGTGCTTCTTTTCCTTCTGCGAATATCGTTTGACGTTTGTCGCAGGAGTAACGCCATACTTGTTTGTAGCAATAGAAACAACAGAGTTGTCGACCCACTTTGCTACTAGTACACCATCAGTCCTGCTGATTACATTTTCAAAATACCCCTTTTCCCTTTTCTGCAGATGTTTCTTATCCAATAACAGACAGCCCTTAGGTATACGGTTATCTCTCATAGTCCCTGTTCCTCCATATCCTTTCAAGCACAGGTACGACAACAAACTAAAGGAAGTGAATAAATTATCAAAATAAAATGAGATTGGAAAGGACTTGATATTATCGGGTAGCCCTTCTAGCATTTTCACCAAAGGTGCTGCCGCTTTTCCGAAGTTCCTTTCTATTACGCTATCAGGTGTAACCGATTTTCCTTGGTATATTTCAAAATCGACCAAATAGCCCATTGTGGTGTTCAGACACCAAACCTTATAGCGGAATCTTATAGGTTTGCCACTCGAAAACTGTTTACAGCTATGTTTACCGTAATATTTGACCATGCTCTCTCTAAATGATAGATCCTCTTCTGGAACAAAATACTTTCTACACCTGTCAATCTTCTTATTAGATACCAAATGTAGGACCTCAAAATTTGCTTAAAACGGTTACGCCTCATAGAATTATAGATTGCTCCCAGTACATTCGCTTACTGGGCAGATCGTTATAACCGCTAATAAGTAATATACCGATGAAACATTTCATTTCCTCTTGAGACACTCTTGGGTCCGGTAGGTTTTTGAAAAGGGTATATTTGTTAGTTTCTTGCACTAGGAATAGTATTACGTCGTTGTCTATAAACATTTCAAATATATGTACAACTGATTTGTTTTTAAATGGTGAGTAATGTGCTTCAGGAAATGGCCGTTTGTTGTAAGTGAAGTCTCCCGAAATCCACTCCCGAGTATCAGAAGTCTGTGGGTATACCATATCAGCTGGAGTTGAACCCTCTTTTGACGAAGAACCATTCCCATTAGAGTCTGTATGTTCGGGATGAGTATCTTCTAACGTCACTCCTCCAGCAAATCTAACTTCAGCTTCTGCAAGTAACTGACGTTTGCTCAAATGATCTAGGTCCCCTACTTCGTCCTCGTCTCCACAATCTTCATCAGTCAGGACAGCAGGTTCCGGTGGCGCAATATAAATTGCCTCTACAGTCATCCCCTTCTGTAGGATACCTTTAAGTCCCCTGAAAAAATGCGTAAAAAAGTACAAATATTCATAAGACTGATAATGACATAAAAGCAGCTAAAATGACCACGCTATGTCCTAGCGTTACGTATATGTAACAGCAAAGTTGACGGTTTACTAACACAAGTATAAAACAAACAAGTTCACCTGGTAATGGCACAATACTTTACACCACATCTACAGATGCTACTTTTGCAACTCTATCAAATTTATGTTATGGAATCTAACAACTATACTTACTCCTTATCGATGAAGTCCATTTTTGATGCCTATTCTTGCACTAACAAAATTTGGCGGAGCGATATTTGGAAACAACAACACGAGGCTTGATAAACACTACTAAATAAAACTCCTAGATCAACGCTTTTTGAGCGTGTGTAGATGTTGGCAGCCCAGCATTCACGTCACGCGTAAGAAGGGTTGCATTTGTAAGACTATTTTTTCTTATATAAATGTAGCGCTAGGAGCTAATGAGTTATGGTTGATTTTATATGATTGATCTGAAACCAACCTACCTCCCGTGTCTCTCTGGCGTGTTATCTCTGGCACACCGTGTATAATAATATTTCCTATCTTAGTGTCAAATAGTCGTCACTTTTTAATATTATTTCACCCTCCATGCAGCGCCTCTGTCCATTCTCCTACCCACTTTTTCTACTTTGTTCCTACCGCGCACCCCGAAAGGCAGAAGGACTCAAGGCAGCAAGAATTATTAATTTCCTTAAAAAGTAATTTCGAGTTGGATAACGAAGTTTTGGTTCTGGAAAGATGGAAGGGATCTCCAACCAGATCCTTACTTCGTTTTCGTTTAAATCACAAGCGCTTGAAACTTTGTTACAGAATTGTAATTTCGGATCAATACCGCCAGACCATTACAGATGCTAAAATTCTTCTTTTGGTAAGTTAAGTAATTTATACGCGTACAAGGTGTCGCAGAATAACATATCAGTCTCTCTTATGCATATAGAATACACAAAAATGATGACACACGTTTCCGCGAAAAAAAAAATGTTCTTCGAAGTGCGCCTGCAGAAATAGAGGCACCTTAAGGACGCTTCAGAAAATACTTTTTTCTCAAATAAACAAGAATACATCTATTTTAAGCTGGGTTTTAACAAACATATAAGTTTCGAGCCATTATTATAGAAAGTGTAAAAAATATCAGCCTCTTTTATGTGGGGGCGAGTTCGATCCTGGCGATCTAAACGAGTTTTGCGCGGACACCATCAAGTAAGGTCCCAACTAGTAACTAAGATGTTAAAATTTTGCTGAGCCGTACAACGAAATCCTCCAGCGAAGTCTTCCAGTGTTAGCCATAGAGCCAAGTCATAATTTAGGTGGACGATCTTTGGCTAGAGATATTTTTTTCTGAAAGTGTTCTTGCCCCAGAAACTTTTTTAAGAACAGGAGCAGGCAAATTTTGTCAAGAGGGACAATTCGTACAAAACTCCAAAGCTGTAGAAAAATCATGGCAAATATATGTAAATTTTAAAGGATAAAAAGATTCTGAGAGGCATCACGGCTCCACCTGCCCCCTCTGCGGGCACACATGTTAGGTGCTCAACTGTCTGCCTGTTGTCATCTATTGAGCAACTTGGTCTGATATCATGGAGATGGTTCCATAACTATTACAGTCATCTCAGATGTTTTTGGAAACCTTCAACATAGAGTCATCATCATGTTTGGCCGCTACGTCAAATCACATATGTTTGAATTACTTTTTAGTGACGTTTCGGCTACCACGTGACCTTTTTTAAAGTTCTAGATTTCTACTGTTCGGTGTCAGGATTAGCGCTCTTCTATCGTGAGGTTTTGTTCAATTTTTGAATCTTAAGGAATTTCAGGCTGATAAAACAGATGATAAAAATCAAGTTTTATCAGCCTGAAGTAACCTCAACATAGAGCGCCGATGCGAAATAGTAGGAATCTAAAAATACGCCTGACTTTCTGGAAAACTAAGAAAATCGAGAAGGCCTACAATTTTAGGAACGACTGACGATATAGCCCTTAGAGATGAGACTAATAAGCGACGGCTCCGGCGACGGCGATATCTGCACTTTTCTTTTGATATATATATATAATAATAATAATAATAATAATTTATTTGTCAAATTCAATTATGCAAATATAAATTTTCAAAGACTGTTGCCACAAAGGAGTATCAATGACAAATAAAAGTAATGCCACGAAAGAAAAATCTTGTGTGTGGCCATCCCATTATTGTCAGTTGTCTATCCGCAGATATAAATAAAGTCTATCAAGTACTTGCTAACGCACTATGCACTTCTTACGCACGCACTGACATAATTTGGTGTTACACGATCACTGGTAGAAATGCGAAGACCTTGAACTGACATTGTGGCACTTTAACTAAATTCAATAATAAATAACATAAATCAAAAGGCTAATTTAAAAAAGAGTACATCTAAGATAAAGGACAATAAAAACTAAAATGACATTACAAAACTGGTAGTTGCATTTGTGTTGTGAGCAATAAAGACAAATATATATCAAGCATAGAATAGAATAAAATTAAATGCCCATCATACATGAGATACGGTATAAGCATATAAGTGACTACAATAAAACATAATAAAATCTAATAAAATATAATAACGTACAATAAAATATGATAAAATAATAAATTAATAGAATGCAGCAATTATTCTAAAAACGGTGACTTCATTTGGGTTGTGAGAGTGACATATATAGTGTTTTGCCTTCTATATAATCATGTATTATGCTCCTGGATATACCTTTCACCCAAACTGAGATTTTTTTCTTGAATAAAGGAATGTTTCGTATTAACTTATAATCAGCAGGCATTTCGTTGTACAATTTGGGGCAGAGATAAATCCAGGAGCGTTGCAATAATGACTTTTCTGGCCTAGGTACCATTATGTGCCTAGCAACTTTCTGGCGAGTGTCATATTTGTGAGCGATTTCCTCATGAAATGATTTATTTTTAAAGTAGTATACCATGCAATTATAAGTAAAGGTTTGCCTAATGTCCATAATTCCAGACTCATGGTATAGCTCATCAGATGGATGAGTTTTGCTCTTGCTATAAAGAATTTTTAATAAATATTTTTGGGCAATCTCCAAGTTCTTTATGTAAGTGAAGCCAGCTCCTCCCCAGCCAAGTATTCCATAGCAAAGATGTGACTGCACAAGTGCGAAGTATAAGATTCTCATGCAATCTGTATTAAGGATGTTTCTAAGACATTTGAATTTTGGAATGAGGCATCTTATTTTCTTTGTCACATATTCGATTTGAACATCCCATCTGAGATTTTGATCAATATATATTCCCAGATATTTAGTGCTGCTTTGACGTTTAATGGTTGTCGTATAGTTTCCTATTCTGACATTTATTTTGTTATATTGTGGCATATGGTTTCTATAGGATGCGAAAGGTACAAAACTTGTTTTCTCAGAGTTAACTGTGAGTAGCTTAGTGTTGAAATATGCTAGTACGTTGGTGAGATTATTTTCGATTTTATTTTTAAGTGCGGGCCAGCTTGAGTCTTCATAAATTATGACAGTATCGTCCGCGAATCCTAACACTGTACCTCCCGAATCCATTGAGAACAAATCATTAATATATATATTAAATAATATTGGCCCAAGAACAGTTCCTTGTGGGATCCCATAGCATACGTCTTTATAATGACTGGTCACGTTATCTATTTTGACACACTGCTTTCTGTTATTTAGGTAGCTCGACATTAAGTCTAAAGTAGTTCCCCTTATACCGCTAAGCTCGAGTATTTCCAACAGCTTGTCATGACTAATGGTGTCGAAAGCTTTGGTTAAGTCTATAAATATGCAAATGGCAGGGATCTTATCGTTAACTAGTCTGTACAGTTTTTTGGATAGTGTAGCTATTGCATCTTGCGTTGATATGCCTTCTTTAAATCCAAATTGATTTTTATGTAACACGTTATACCTATTGAAAAACTTCAGTAACCTTGACTTGATTATTTTTTCTACAACTTTGGCGATACTCGAAATCAGGGATATTGGTCTATAATTTTCTATATCAAGTTTGCTATCTTTTTTGTAGATAGGTGTTATTGTGGCTAACTTTAAAATATCGGGAAATACTCCTGTACGAAAACATTCATTTATTATATATTTTAAAGGCTTGCATATATAATATCGTATTTTTTTCAGAGTTTCAGCTTTTATGTTATCGCTTCCAGGAGCCTTGCCATTTTTCAAGCTTAATATAGTCTCCCTCACTTCGTTTTCATCCGTTTCGTCTAAATAAATTGAGTTGATAAGCTTATTTACTTGTTTGATAGGAGCAGTGCGTGGTATCTTCTCTGCCAGTTTTTCACCAATGCTTGTGAGGTGTTCCAAAAACTTCTGAGCAATATCATTTTTATTGGATATTTCTTCCCCACTTTCGATTTTTATCTTATCTATTTCTGCTTTTTTATTCCTTTTACCGGAAATCTCATTTACACAATCCCATAACATCTTACTACTATTATTGGTTTTCTTGATTTTGCTGTCGTAGTATTCCTTTTTTCTTGTTTTTAATAGGTTATTTAATAAGTTTCTGTAATCCTTAAATCTTTTTATATTTATTTCCGTTGGGTTTTTTATCATTTCACGATATAGTTTGTTTTTCTTATTTACAGAGTTCACCATAGCGCTAGTTATCCATGTTTTCCTAGCTTTTTGATTATTTTTGAGTTTTAATTTATACCTACATTTAGTGATATTTTCGTTCAATATTTGTATGAAATGTTCAGTAGCTTTGTGCGTGTTGATCGAATTATATATTGGTGTCCAAGTTTGATTATTCAGAAGTTCAAGTAATTTGGTTTCATTTGTTCTATATACACAATTTGTGTTTATATTTTTGCTAATGATTTTGGGGAAAATTATCTCTAGTATAGTTGTAAAGTGATCAGTTATATGGTTTTGAAGTATTACAGAATTTATGTGACCATTATCAGAAGGAGTGCTAGCGAATATGTGATCAATACAAGACTTTGAGTTACCATCCACTCTTGTGTAGTCATTTATTGCTGGACGAAGGTAATACGAGGCTAAGATATTCAAGTATTTTTCTGATAACTCAGACTTTTCCATTATATTTATGTTTATGTCACCCGCCAGTAGATGGATGCAACGACTTTTGTTACAAGATTCAAGGTATGACTCCAAGTCACTGAGAAATGACAAAGCATCTGTTGACGGTGGTCTATAAATAGCTGAAACAAGTACTAGGTCTTTACATTTTTTCATAGAAAGCTGCAAGATCTTTATGTTTGTGTTAGAAAGTTGTATTATTGTATTCTCGGTCACCTCAACGTTTTTATTGATATAAGCTATAACCCCATCATTTTTGTTAATATCACCATCATTATAGTATATGTTATAATTTTCCAGTTGATATAGTGAAATATCTTCAAGTTTCCAGCATTCTGACAAAACGATACAGTCGAATGTTTTTTTGATTCCATGCAGTAGCACCCTGAATTCGTCGAAATTTCTATGTATACTCCTAATATTTAGGAGCAATAACGAAACATTTTCTCTGTTACATTCTGAATTCAAAGTGCTATTGCATTCATCCATAGACGTTACATTTTTAGTACTAATCTTTTCTATTCGAAAATCACGAATGTATGAGTCCATTATGGCCTAGAATTGCTTCTTAATTTAGGGCCTTGATGAATTACTAAGATTTTTTGCTTTCCTGAAGAAGCTTCTTCAGCGGATCTCTTTTCCCCTCTTTTGGTCTCGCTATTGTTGTTTGTGGATCTGTGGCCTGTTTCGAATTTCGATGTAGCTTCTACTGTAAATGTTTCTGGTAACTCGTCCTGTTGTAGTGTTTCATATGAATAGGCGTCACCATTCACATATAATTTGTTGTTTTTTATATATGCTGAGTTATTTGCTTGTCTAGCTTGTTTTAAATGTGCATGTAGGACTTTTCTTTTTTCGTATTCTTCCTTTGTGTAGTCATTGGTGACAAATACGCCAGATCCTCTCGGTAATTGTTTAGATTTTATCAAAATATTTTGTTTGGTTCTATAGTTCAGTAGTTCAATAACAAGTGGTCGTGGCTTTTTTTGATTCTCTACCTTTCTACCTATGCGATAGGAATCTCTTATCTGGGTTGCTTCTATGAAAATTTCCAATTTTTGTTCGATAAATTCTTTAGCTTCTTCTGCTGCTCCTTTATCTTCCTCATTTATCCCATACGCAACTACGCTATACTTCTTCAACTTAGCTTCAAGCACATTCAGTTTGTTTTTTAATGTTTTATTTTCCTCTTCAATTTCTTTAAATTTATTATTCGTGTTCTCTATCTCTTTTTTTACTTCTGTGATGTTCTTATTTAATTGTTCAATTTCACCCTTGAGTTCCGTATTGGAGTTTGTAATTAAATTGTAGATGTCCTCGAGACTAATTGGCTTTTCTGCCATGATCGCGTACCCAATTTTATGTTGCTGTCAGTCGAATACACTGTAACGTTCTTCGCTGTGGTGTCAAGATCATTGGATGGTATCGCTATCGAGACTTGGTCGTTTAGAACCAAAATACCTCTTCTCAGAGCGTGGGCGTAACTGGGCGTGGCAGCTTACTTTGTTTATGTACGGACAACGGAAAAAATAAACGTTTATAACTTACGCACTTATCCAGATTTCCTTGTGCTGCTTTCACAACTCAAATCATCAACACAACTGCAACCTCTGGGTTAAAACTCACAATTTTTAATAAACTAGAACACTACTTTTCCACTAAATAATGCGGAGCTCACTTGGCGAGACCTTTCTCGTGCAGATGATCTATATATATATATATATAATTAGTAGTGGATCAACAAAAGTCAGGTGATACAGGGCTTCAAAGCCTATCGAATGAACCCCTACATGTGAGGTCCGAAATTTTATAGTTTATAGTAGGGGATATTTGCAATTTTGCGAAATTTCGAAAAAAAACGGCATGATAAACTTTCAGTCGCAATTACAGCTAAACCATCTATCACCTGACTTCCGTTGATCCACTACTAAATTTACACCCTGTATATCAAGAGAATTACCCTGGAAGTAACTTCTCTCTAACGGAGACATTAAAGAATACCATTCCTCGGAAAGTAGTATACTGAGTGACATATAAATCCGAACACCCAGTTTAAATGGTTTTATTTTAATAAAAGTTGGTGAATGTATTTATCTTACTGTAAATCACAAGTGAAAAAATTTTCAGCCTTATCAGTTGGACATTCCGGTTTTTATACTGCTTTTTTTTAATTCACTAACGCTCTAAAAATGAAAATTTCAGCCGCAGAATCAACGTTGGCGGATTTTGGTTCTTGACATCCTTTACGATCGGTTACGATGCCTAGCGTACGGAAACCTGTACGATTTCATCAACTTAGTGAGTTTGATAGGGGCCGTATAGTGGGACTTCGGGAAGCTGGACTTTCTTTTCGGGCAATTGCACTTAGAGTGCAAAGAAGTGTAGACACTGTGGTAAGGTGTTGTCAGGCATGGCTTCGAGAAGGCCGTACACAAAGAGCAAGGGGCACTGGACGCCGCCGTAGAACAACAGACCGTGAAAATCGCCGCCTAAGATTATTGGCCTTAAGGGACCGTTTCTCCACTACCAGGTCCATTGCAAATGAATGGTTTGCAGAACACGGAAGACCTATTGGCATGCGAAGTGTTTACCGACGAATGAGAAGTTTTGGCTTGTTTTCATACCGGCCACACTGGGTCCTCCCTTTAACTCGAGAACACCGACGTAATCGCCTTGAGTGGTGCAGACAACGGTCACTCTGGGATTAGGAATGGAACAGTATTGTCTTTAGTGACGAGTCTCGATTTTGTCTAGGCATGCACGATGATCGTGCCAGGGTTAGAAGGCGACGTGGTGAAAGGAGGAATCCACAGTTTTTTGTTGAAAGACATGTTCATCACACTGTTGGAGTTATGGTTTGGGGTGCTATGGCTTATGGCCCAGGTCACCTTTAATCTTCATCAGAGGTAACATGAACGCGCAGCGTTATATCCACGAAGTTCTAGAACCCCATCTTTTACCCTATCTTGACACCCTGGCAGATCCAACTTTCCAACAAGATAATGCCCGACCACATGTTGCAAGAGTCACAATAGACTTCTTTCAACATAATGGTGTCACATTGTTACCATGGCCACCAAGATCTCCCGACTTATCCCCAATTGAGCACGTGTGGGATATGATGGGTAGGAGATTGCTGAATTTGCAACGTCCTCCTTAGACTCTAGAAGCACTTCGAGAGGAGTTGGTGGTTGCCTGGAATGAGATACCACAGGAGGCCATTGACCACCTGATCAGAAGCATGCCGAGGCGCGTTGGAGAATGCGTAGCACATCAGGGTGCATCCACACATTATTAAAGGTCAAAGGGCTTTAAAGCAGTGCAATCATTTTGAAACTTTTGTCATTTACTTATTATGCTTCATTAAGTGCTTATACAAAATTTTATTAAAATAAAACCATTTAAACTGGGTGTTCGGATTTATATGTAACTTAGTATATAAAGATTCCCACTTTCTATCAAGTATTCTCCCCCTTCATCTTCAAGAATTCGTCTTCTGGAGTAAATTTGTGGATTCAGGAAGCAGAATAGCTGAGACAACGTTATTCTCCTACTGTTCGTGGAACTGTATTCAAGAACAAGCGTCCCGAATCGTTCTCGGGAGCAAAACTCGTCCATCAGTCTCATCTCTAAAGACGAAGTTTGTGATGAAGGTTTAATGAGATGCAGGTCGCAGATCATACTGCCATGCGAAGAATGTCAACCTTGTCAGAATTTGGATCCATTCTATCCTACTGTAATCAAGAGTTGACGCCCTGATTCTATACCGAAGTTATCGTCGAAATTCTCACACTATGTGTGATGGCAAATAAGCGACATCCGAATTAACTTTCGGGGACGAAATTCGGTGAGTTCCAGGCCACTTGATTGTGAGTGACTCTTCACCCAGGTAAAAGTTATTTTCTCGCTGATGGAGGTATTCACAAGCACTAAAAAGTAATATAGTACTAAGCTCATTGTGAGTGTTACATCTACGAATCAATATTACGGAACGAATTCAGACCAGGTAGAAACAGCAAGCCTACGATTTGCCAAAAACTCAGTCCGTACTGAAGATGTAAGTGCACTACAAGTGGACTCGACATAAGCAAATTTCTGAAAGTTATGTCGGTAAATTTGTATTTTTAGTATTATTTTTTAAGAGTACCAGTGTTTGCAGATAGTTGCGGTGTTAGACGATTTCAGGACTTGGAACTTCTTGCATAATTTGTAAAGAGCGGCACAAATATAATGAAGATCGATCTTTTCACCGGTAAGTATTACTATTATTTTGATACAAAGTTGTCACTTTGGTAGGCAACGGTACCCAAATGTCAAAACTACACAACTTACGACAAATAATGCAACAAAATATACAGGGTGTCTGCGAAAAGTTGGGAAATCTCGAAAGTGGACATACTACAGACCAAAATATTTGAATTGACCTAAACATACATCAGTCCAAAAGTTGATAGTTTGCGAGATACAGTCAAAGTTACAATTATATTTTCTATTTTTCCTTATCGCTTGAGAAGCATTTCTGCTTTTGGCATAAGGCTCGGTGTAGGAGGAGGTTTTCTAGTATGAGAGACAAAAATCTGCTGTAAGTGGCGCCCCTTAGAAGTTTGGCCATAAAAAATAACGGATTTTTGTTTCTGATACTAGAAAACCTCCATAAATCGAGTTTTATGCCAAAATCTGAAGTACTTATCGAGCAATAAGGAAAAATAGAAAATAAAATTGAAACTCTGAAGTATCTCGCAAACTTTCAACTTTTGGACTAAGGTATGTTTAGGTCAATTCACATATTTAAGTCTGTAGTTTCACCAGTTTCGAGATTTCCCAACATTTTGCAGACACTCTGTATAGGCTTGACTTCTATATTCGAATTTATTAGTATTACCGCACCTTTCTGTACAAAAATAGTCCAATCTCTACGAAGAATTCATGATGCAGTTTCGAGTGAGCGCATTTGTGGATATAGCATTGTTGAACGGCAGTGCAGCATGCAAACATCAAAAATAAAACACCTCCCATTTAATTTCCTACAGAATCCAGAGCCTATTCAGGCTGGATGTAGCCAGAGGTAACAGCATTCTCTTATTTATATTTTATCTGGTATAAAATGCGGAGCTGCATGCTGAAAGAGGTTTGAAAAAGATCCTGATTTCATTGTTTGCTGCGTTGCAGCAGAAAACATTGCAGCAACGCTGCAGCACAATACCTGCCTGAAATTGAATGCGGGATTCTACTCCAAGCAAAATGTGGAAAATTAAAGAGAGCTATAAATATTGAACGCTATTGGAAAAGATATGTGCCACGGAAATAGTGGGATTGGCTACCCATACTCAAAATAAGTAAATTGACTTACCTTGTCTCTTAAGTGGACTCCTGGTTTCATTAGTATGGAACTTGATTATTGCTTAGTATACTGATAGGTTAAGTGGGGGATTGGTAGCCATGTGGTTAGCGGCATCAAGCTAGTGATCGGTCGACCCAAGGCTTGCTCCACCTAGGAATTTAATTGCGAGCCATAGATGTTGTGTTGTGTGTTGCCTATATAACGCTTCGGGTCGGTGCAAGATCAACAGTAATAGGTAGATCGCATCGCTGGACCTGGTTTATTCAATAATCAATGATCGGTTATGAGTAAATAATAATAACAATAATAATAGATGGGCTTTATTTCATACAAAAGTACAAAAAAAGGCGAACAGAAATATATGCATAATTGTCAATAATAACTATTTACTTAAAAACACAAAAAAATAGAATCAATTATAAGAATAGTTCTTATTTCCAGCAGTTTGTACGAGGGATTTCTTTTAGGTTTTGCATATAGAAACATAGTAGGCCGCGCGGATCGAACGTTAGTACTGAATCTTAACCTCACTCTTTAGTAAACTTAAATTCAAAGTTTCACAACAATACGTGCAGTGTTCTCACTACAGTGAATTCTTAAGTGTCACCAAGTCATTAGAAAAATGGAACATTTTCGCGAAATAATTTATTACAACTTTCAGAGACAATTATCGCAACAAGAATGCCTTGCTGAGTTACTGTCTGTTTTCGGCAACGTAGCGCCACAAAAGCCGACAATTTTCCGTTGGTATGGAGAATTCAAACGTGGAAGGGTGAGTATTAGCGACGATCCCAGGGTGGGTGCACCAAAAACGGCAGTCACCCAGGAAAACGTCCATGCTGTGCGCAAACTCATCATTGAAGATAGACATGTGACATATCGCGAGATTGAGGCGTCCTTGAAGATTTCAAAGAGCTCTATTCAAAAAAATTTACATAAAGAATTAGGAGTAAGAAAATTAGTTTCTCGTTGGATACCCCACCTGTTGACTGAAGAGCAGAAAGCAGCCAGGGTTAATTGGTGTCAAAAAACGCTTTGACCGTTTCAACTCCGGAAACTTAAAAAATGTGTACAGCATTGTTAGTGGTGAGGAATCGTGGACTTACCGTTATGAACCAGAAAATAAACGACAGTCGGCTGTTTGGGTGTTCCAAGGTGAAGAAAAGCCAACAAAAGTCATCGGTTCTCGAACAGATGGTCGCGACATTTGTGTCAAAAGCAGGCCATATTGCAACAATTCCTCTTAATGAGCAAAGAACTGTTATTGCGGATGGGTATACCACCATTTGTTTGCCAAAAGTCATCACCGAGCTTCGAAAAATCAACCCCGCAGACAAGACAATGCAAGCTCGCACACAGCCCAAAAAACAAGGCAGTATTTAACGGTAGAAAACGTGGAATTATTGGACCATCCTACATATAGTCCCGATCTAAATCCTAACGATTTCTTTACTTTCCCGAAAATTAAAAACATACTGCGTGGTCAAAGGTTACAGTCACCAGAAGAAGTAGTTGACGCATTCAAAAATGCCGTTTTGGATCTGCCAGCAAACGAGTGGAATAAGTGCTTCGAAAATTGGTTCGAGCGCATGCAGATGTGTATTCTTCGTGGAGAATACTTCAAAAAACAATAAAGTCATTTAAAACTACCTACCGTGTTGTTTTATTTCCATATGCAAAACTTAAAAGACATCCCTCGTATTCATCATCAGACCTGAGTGTGCAGTTTAGATTGCGAAGTAGTGCAGTGTTGGTACAACGGGATCGGCAAAAAGGGTCAAAGGTTATTGAAATGGACATGTAACCCCGACTGACCATAGACAGCACTGCTTCGTGCTCATTGGCAATTCATCAGTGCGGTATGGATTTAGTAGTCTTGGAAACAGATGAATAAAAAGGAAACATGTAGATACGGTCGCTTGAAAACTCAAAATGATGTGCGGAGGTAGGCGAAAAGTCTAACGATATCAGCCTATCAATAGTTTGTCAAGTTCGTCTTCGTTACCATCCCGTCGAGTGAAAGATGACGGAAAACCCCCACGTTACCAGCCTAGTTACCAGCCTACTATAAAGCACATGAAATAAGATTTGAAACAACTGAAGTACAACTAATAGAGCTAATATATTCCTAAAAAGGCACACTGGTTCATTTATTTTATACTCTTTGATAACTTAATTTCATAACCGTGTGCCTGAGATTAGGTTCAGTCCTAGATTATGTTATAATTATTACGGTATTAGGTAACCGTAATTACAATGAATTTATGAAGATATTACTAATTCATAGATAGATAGAGAGATAGATATACTTTTCTGACGTCCTGCACATTGTGCGCCACTGACTAGGAAGTATTGTAATCGCGAAAAATTTAGAAACTGAGGTATTATGTTTTTTGGATGTTTTCTGACATGTACATACACACACACACACACACACACAATCACGACACTTATTTCTGTCTATCTGTCTATCTGTCTATCTGTCGGTCTGAGCACATGTTCTCTAATCGTTGGTCCGTCTATAACTTATTGAGAACCTCTCGAATTTTGATGAAATTTTCAAACATGGTTACTACTATGTCAAGGACGAAAAAGCTTTGTGGTTTTTGAAAATAAGTCTAGTGGCGGCGGAGAAACAGGCCAAAAATTTTTTGTGCTAGCAAATTTAAACGCTTCCAAACCCGGCAATTTTTAGCACTTATCAGACGTATTTCATACATAATACATTTGCCCATAAAACTTGAATATAGAGAATTATTTCAGATATACGCGTGGCTGACATCTGAACAAGCGTACGTCTGTCTGCTTCGGATGCTGAGGGATAACTGAATGATGATGATTGCGCGTATCACTATATGCAATGCTGTGCTGGGTTACCACGTTGCTGCTTTGTCAATACTCTCTGTATCTATGGGGACTATCGTCTTATTGCATCAGCCTGTTTGATTGACATCATCTATATAAACCTTTGTCGTACATGTTTGTATCCAATTTGTTCCAAGGGGGAATTATTTTGTGCCAAATATAATCTTTTATGAATTGACACCAGTGCGTAGGAAGTGGAGGTTCAACCTTCTGGACGCCATTTTTTGTCTTACCAAGGAAATCAAAGCATGCTCGACGTTCTAGTTTCATAACGATGTACGAGTATCTTACATACAGGTGGTGAAAAACAAACAAACAAAAATGTTTTCCTAGGTATAAATTTATTACGAAGAAAGGTATCAACGTCTTTAACCACCGCGTGCGGTGCGGGTGTAGCGGTGGAGCTCCCCTTGCAATTATATTGCGCTCAACACCTCCACTTAGATAATATCGTTATTAGAGTGGCCACAAATTACCATCAGTGTGCTAATTATTACAGGAAGTTGAGGAAGGTTATGTCTACGTCACTGAAGCAGCTTGCAGTTGCAGTTTTTTTTAATTACGTTAATTGCACACTCATCTTAATTGTTTGGCCGTGGCTTCAATATACAGCGTGATGATGAACTTTAAATAAGGAAACCATACTTTTTTGATTCACTTCCTTCTATAGAATAAGGGTGGATTTCACCAGGATTTTCAAATCAACAGTCCGTTATTCTCCACCTATTGGGTCAAATACAGCGAATGAGCTTCAAATTTTATCAACCAATAGCTACGAAATGTTGAAAACAAAATACAGTCAAAGTATGAGATGAAAGCTTGTCATTGAAACGTCACCAGCTTATTGAATATTTAGAAATTACATGTAATTTAGTCAAAATTTAATAAAGTGTTCGATTTTTGAATAAAATTCATGTGTTTATTTAATATTGTCGATTTTTATCCTAATTCTAAAGCACAAAGACATAATATTATATCTATAATGTACCCTTATTTATAAGGCAATCATTTTTTCACGACTTTGTTCAACATTTCAATAGAAATCACTGATGTTCAGAGAGCTTTGACAGCTTCTGTCAAATTGCATTTCGATAAGGTCTTTTCTTGAAAACATCCTTTATCAAAGTCAACTCTGATGGGCTGAATCTAAATTCAAAGCTGACAATAATCACAAGATGGTCAACCTGAAATTTTCAAATAAAAAAAATATAACCTTGAAAACTACAAAATTCTACACCTTGAAGGTCACCACATATACAATAGGGGTCAAGTTGTCCTTTGAAGCAGAGCTTCAACAGCTGATAAGATTAATTTTAAACTTCAGGCTAACCTCAACCTAATATAAATTTTTGAACCTGTTCCGGTTTACTTGGAGACCGAACGATAGGCAAACCACATCTTAGATGAGCGTGACCTAAGTTCCATAGACAGAGCTGACGGTCATCTTTACTTCAAGCTTGCGCTCAACCTCGAAGGCTTGTCCAAGCTCCAAGTTCAACTCAATATTTTCGCCCTGGAGGGGGGCAAGATCCTGTAATGGGATATTTTGGTAGGACTCCAGAGGTCAGTTGAAATTTTTGGCGTCAAACGGTCAGACCATGAACAAAAAGACTTTTCATTGACCTTGAGGATGAGTGTAAGATCGACTCGATTTTTCAAATAAAACCTTGTTTTCTGGCTTCTATTGATTGAACATTGCGATATCGTAAAGTCAGATAGATATCGAAGATTGTAGGTCGACATATAAAAAACAGAAGACAGACAGACTTGACTGAGACATTGACCTTAATCCTGCTTGTCCTTTTGCAAGAGAATGTCTTCTTAGTCCTTAGATATTAATCGAATTACCCTGTATTTGTCGCATTCAGCTAGTAGTGTAGCATTTTAAAAACACATGTACCTCGCGATTCAAATGCAAATGTGATGGTGGTGTTTATCAAGCGTGCGTTGGCTCTGCGCGTCCGCTATGCTTTTGTCACTGCCTTTGTTCCGACTCATTTACCGCTTCTTCTCCTTCCCCTTCATTTGTTCTCGGCTGTCCCGTCTTTTGTTTATACCAACCCGGTCGACAAGACGCAGGCTAAATAATAAAATTTGTAAAATCCGGCTAGCTATGGCGAAGTAGAATCTCCATTGTTGGTGGGTCAGGTCCGTAATTGAAAGTGTGCGTTACGAAATATACGCATAAGGTTTCCCAAATGGATAGAGTTGACTTCAAGTGTCGCAAGCACAAACGCCGAGGTTTTATTGATTTTCCTAGAGATCAATGTCTAAATGATCAAGAGAAGTGGCATCAAAATGATTGAATTCATACATGGAGTCAAGCAGTAAAATTTTCGAACCTTCTTTTACTTACCACACCTACTGGCGAGGTATGTAAAGCTTTTTTCATGTTATATGACATCTCGAAAAACCGTGTCACTCATTTATGTCGGTCTGTCTGTCTGTCGGTTTGTCTGTCTGTCTGTAGATCTGTCTGTCGGTTGTCTGTGGGTCTGTGTGTCAGTCTGCCTGTTAGTCTGCCCTTCGGTCTGTCGGTCGATCTGTCTGTCCGACTAACCATTGGCCCGTTTATACCTTTGAGAGATTTGAAAGAAATGTCCAGTTAGGGTTACTACTATACCAAGAATAAATAAGCATTGTAGTTTTTGAAAACCTGTTCCGTTCATATAAAAGTCGCTCAAATTTCGTTTCTAAGCGACGCAGAGGATGCTGATTGTTTTTAGAAAAAATGTGCATGGGTTAATGATTGGAGGTTGGCGGTTATAAGATGTGACGACGGACGTTATATCTAATTTTTTTTATTTATAAGCTCCCAACCTCAATAATTCTAGGCACATGTTAGACATATTTCACACATCAAGCTTATAACGATGGAGAAATCGCCGGCGAGTGGACGCGTCGCTTTTCATAAGTGTCCTGACGATGTGCCGCGCTGCGATCAGGTATCGGGGAGAAGCGACGTTGCCAGATGGACAGTACTACCAGTAGGTCTGCGAAAGAATGTCGATGGATTTATTGTCGACATGTTCGTAACTAGCTTGTCGCTCAGAGGGTCTAACTTGCTACTTTCGCCCGTCTGACAAAAGGCAGTCAACCATGGACAGCTATTTCATGCTTTCTTAGCAAGTCATCAGCATGGTCTAGGCGTTGCGTGCGAAATGCAGAGTCAACCTACTTAACCCCCTTTATTTACTAACGTTCAAGGGTGACCATACCTCTGGGAAAATGGTCTCGATCTTTTTTAAGTTTAAACCCTTCCAAATAGCGTTCTAAGCTACTCTAAAAAATGACTAGAAGCATGAAAAGCATCGAAAAATTGACTTTTAGTACGTCCAAAAATTTTTCTACTCTCACTGAAATAATTTAAAAAATTCCCAAGACGTCCTTGTATCAAAATCCGAGCAGTACTTTCCTAGTCACAGAGGGGACAAGACAAGCGAACAGACAATTCACTAGTTGCGCGACGGTAGCGCTACCTATCGGATGTGGCATAGAAATATTTATGCTTGATACGTGCACTAAAAAGATGAACCGATACTAATGGAAATGACACACGTTTAGTTCATTTGATGTTAGGAATAATTCGCGTTTGAAATGATAATCCTTTGTTGATCTGGAAAATTCATTTCACTCTCGGCAATTAGACAGACGAACAAAAGTATATGAAACTTTTTCTTGTGCCAATTAGAGCAGGATGTAGAAAATTGGATATCAATAAGTACTTAATAGGTCTAAACTGATAACCTGGCTATTAGAGCTAGACAGT